CCCCCCCCCCTTTTGCTTGGACTACTTTGGGGATTTTTCTTTTTCTTTTGTTTTTTTTACTGAGACAGGGTCCTGCTATCTTGCCCAGGCTGGTCTCAAACTCCTGGACTCAGGCAATCTTTATACCTCGTCCTCCCAAAGTGCTGGGATTACAGGCATGAGCCACTGTGCCTGGCCTGCTTGGACTTTGCTTCCGTCCACTGCAATTGGTGGAGTTCTGTCAAGTACACTTGGAAAGGCCTTTCTGAGTCCCTGAGAAAGAGGCACCCACAACTACCCCGGCCTTGGTGTGTGGAGGGGTGTATCCAGGTGCCTACGGTACAACACTGAGTTTGTGTGGGGAGTAAAGCTGGCCTCGCTGGTCCCTTCGTGAGAGGGCATCAGAGAGGAATGGCGGTCAGGGAGCATTCTGGGCTGAGGGCTTCCCTGAGGCAGGGCCCATGTCCAGACCTCTTCCTTAGGTTGCCCTGTTCTTTCCCCCCACCCACAGAGCCCCTGCTCACCTGTGACCAGAATGGTCTCTTCCGCCTGGCGGGTCCCTAGGGCATTAGTGACTTTGCAGATAAAAGTCGTGTTGATCGACTCATCTATGGTAGAGATCAGAAGCCGGGCGCCCTGGGCCACTGCAGAGGGTGGCAGGGGACCTGTGGGCCTAGGAGAGACAGAGGGGAGGGGTGAGGAAGTGGCCTCTGCGGTGGCCTAGAGTGACAGTGACTGAAATCCTCATGCCATCTACGACCTAAGTTGGGGGCGATTCTGGAGCCCCCGACCCCTCTCTTCTTCTCTTGTCCACATCCAACCCATCAGCAAATCCTGTCGGCCCAGTCTTTTTTTTTTGAGTCGAAGTCTCACTCTGCTGCCCAGGCTGGAGTGCAGTGGCATGTTCACAGCCGCCGCAGCCTCGACCTGCTGGGCTCAGGCGATTCTTCTGCCTCAACCTTCCAAGTAGCTGGAACTACAGGCATGCTCCAACATTCCCGGCTACTTTTTTGACTTACAGTAGAGGCGAGATCTCACCAAGTTGCCCAGGTTGGTCTCAGACCCATGGGCTCAGGCGATCCTCTCGCCTCCGCCTCCCAAGTGCTGGGATTACAGGCATGAGCAACCATGCCCAGCGGCCCGCCTTTAAAGTCTATCCAGAATCCCACCACACCTCAGAGCCTCCGTTTTCCGCCATGGTCCCCTAGGCTGCTCC